AACTTCCAGACAAGATATGATCACAACTTTCAGATTTAGTTGGGGCTATGGGATGTTATAAACTCTCTGTTCCTCCAAAAGGTGACCTATTTTTTCATGGTCCTCCCTTTAAACTCTCAATGGTAAAAGTTATCAAACTGGCTGAACCTGTATTGCCCCTGTGGGAACCAGAATCTCAAGTCAAGAACGGCCTAATTTGAACTTAGTCTTGGAGAACTGGGTAACTATTCTCAACAGGACAATATCCCCACTGAAATCCTCTAAGGACTGTAGCCTCTGGTAACCTCTGAGGACAGGCTATCAGTTATGCTCCATATTATCCTGTTGCACAAGTCTTGTTACAAATTTAATTCATCAGTGTCTTTAAAAAAGAGAAAAAAAGCCCTAAGTAACTAATAACTAAGTAGAGTTTATCTGATTAAATACAAGCATGATTCAATATTATCAGATCTATCACTATAATCTTACCATATTAACAGATTAAGGAGAAAAATACTTGATCATCTCCAGATGCATAAAGAAGTATTTGATAAAACTGAACACTTATTCATATATTTAAAAAATTAAAAGACCTGTGAATAGAAGGAAAGTTTTATAGTGTAATAAAGGGCAACTACCTAAAACTTACAGCAAACATCAAACTTTAAAAGCATTTTTTATTGAAGTCCAGCATAAGACAAGGATGCCCACTATCATTGCTACTATTCCCTGAAGTAATAATTTTTATAATGATTTTAAGACAAGAAAATAAGGGAATTCCCTGGCGGTCCAGGGGTTAGGACTCCGTGCTTTCACTGCCCAGGGCCCAGGTTTGATCCCTGGTCAGGGAACTAAGATCTGCAAGCCACACGGCCTGGCAAAACAAAAAACAAAAAACAACTGCATATATATATATATATATATATATATATATATATATATATATATATATATATATATAATACACACACACACATATATACATAAGAAAGGAAGAGACAAATTGATGATTTTTACAGATGAGATTATTATTTACATAGAAATTTCAAAAGCATCTACTGAAAAGCTAGTTATATTTATAAAACAAAATGCAGCACTGTTGCTGGCTCTAAGATCAAAATACAAAAATCCGTAATTGTCCCATATGTCAAAAATAACCAACTAGAAATAAAACAGAAAAAGATATAATTTATAATAGCAATAAAAATTATAAATTACCTCAGAAAAAATAGCCAAAGATACTAGAGACCTAGGGAGAAAATGATAAAACATTATTAAAGGATGTAAAAGGGAGACCTGAAGAAAAAGGAACAATACGATATGTTCTCATTTGGGAAGAATCCAAACGGAAAAGATGTCAATTTAATCTATTAATCCAATGCAATTTGAGTCAAACTCCCAGTAAGATTCTTTTTTATGAATTAGACAAACTGATTCTAAAAGTGACATTCAAGAAGAGCCAAAACAATAGTGAAAAAGATAAGGACAGCTTTCCCTGTTAGATATTGAAACTTACCATAAAGATTAATACCCTATGGGCCAACAATTCCTTTTATATGTATGTATATATGGTCTATTGTGCTTACTGTTTATAGAGTCAATGTATAAAAACGTGGACTCAGTAGATAAACATCAAGTTGATAATTATGATTGTCTCAAGAGAGGGAGGGGAATGGGATTAGGAATGAGAATAGGGGAATTTCAACTTTTTTTATGTTCCCTTTTTTAAATCTATCCAAAGCAGAAATGACAAATGTGTATTATAGGCAGTGGTTACATTGGATATTAATTGTTTTGTGAATATTTCCGCATCCTTGAATCTTGCCAAAATAAACAAAAAGTTAGTTGATTAATTCTCCAAATAGAAATAAAAACCCTGTATTTATAGCCATCATTTGCTGGGTTTCTGCTTTTTTTTTTTTTTTTTAACTTTACATCTTCATTGGAGTATAATTGCTTTACAATGTTGTGTTAGTTTCTGCTTTATAACAAAGTGAATCAGTTATACATATACATATGTTCCCATATCTCTTCCCTCTTGCGTCTCCCTCCCTATCCCACCCCTCTAGGTGGTCACAGAGCACCGAGCTGATCTCCCTGTGCTATGCGGCTGCTTCCCACTAGCTATCTATTTTACGTTTGGTAGTGTATATATGTCCATGCCACTCTCTCGCTTTGTCACAGCTTACCCTTCCCCCTCCCCATATCCTCCAGTCCATTCTCTAGTATGTCTGTGTCTTTTGGGTTTTTGCTTTTTAAATGACACTATCTCCAGATGTCTGCAAATACATGAGGAATTTGAACTAATTCTGTAATTTTAGATGGTCTCATAAATATTGCAAAACTTTTAGCATTCTGAACATTGTTTCTGAGATAAATCTTGTTTATTTTCTACCATTCTTTAAAGATTAGTCAGTTGTCATTAATAAATGCAAGTATGAAATGGCTCTCGGACCAGCATAAAAGTCTACCGTACATGTGTCTGCAGAGTTTAGGTGCCAAGAACATAAAGATGCTCAAGGTATCTCCATCTCTTAGAACAAAGGAGGGTGTCAAGAACAATGCTATGAAATATTAAGCAGAAGATGCCCCCAGAGAAGCCTCCATGAAGCACAGCAAGGGCACAGTGACATAGGACAACAGTGGAATGCAGGGCAACTGCAACAGCTGGTCTGCATTTTTTCATAACGGTAAAGTCACAAACAACAGGAACTGTTTTTAGAGTGAGCAGATCCAGTGTGTTTTCTCATTCTTTGTTTTCTTTGACTTCTGCAGTATTCAGTACCATTACTTGGCTCCTGTGGTTTTGAGACACCACCATATGGTCCTGTGTTGGTTGGCCTTCTGGTCATTCCTCTCATTCTCTGCTGTTTGTTCCCCTGCTGCCTTATCCCAGTCTAGTCTCTTCTCTCCTTTGGGGAACTCATCAGGTCTTAAGTGTGGAGCCAACCATCACCTTCATAGCTCTGTCGCCAGCCTGAGCTTCAGTTCTACATTTTCTACCACTGAACTCTTCATTCTGTGGTACATCATCTAAAACTCGAACAACTCCTCAACTGCATTTCCTCTAGACTTTCGGTCAGCAATATCATTATTCTCTTTGGGTGAAAATTCAGAGTCATCCTGCTAGGTTCTATGATGGCAGGTAATATGACCATCCTGTTCACCAATAGGGACCTTGGGGAGTGCTTGGTACACTCGGTAAATTTTCAATATCAGTTCCTTGAAAGGTAGAATCCTTGCCTCATTCATCTCTTCCCCCAACACTCCAAATCCTATCACTTCATTTCTGCCCTTCTTTTTTGGTTCCATTAGAAGAAAAAGACTAATCCTATCAGTTCTGCCCTTTTGTTTCTGCTCTACTAATTCTGCCAGGAGGATTTTTTCAGAACACAGGGCCAAAGAGAAGGGGGAAAGTTGGTCCAGAGGAGGCTGGCCAGCCTATTCATGAATTTGGTCATGGTGGTGCTGTTAAAAAGTTAAAAAGTTTGAAGCAACTCACTTGTTTACATTCTTCCCCTCTGTCCACTGCCTACCCTGTCCAAAGCCCAAATTCCTTTGCTTGACATTTAAGGAACCTCCAAATTCTGAAAATTTTTTCTTTTCCTTGGTTTTTCTTTTCCTTGGTTGTAAGTCAAACTTAGTTTCTCAAATGGTCCTTTACATTTTCACTTCTGAGGACTTCCCTGGCAGTCCAGTGGTTAAGACTCCATGCTTCCACTGCAGGGGGCGCAGTTTCGATCCAAGGTCGGGGAACTGAGATCCCACGTGCTGCGAGGCACAGCAAAAAAAAAAACAAACAGAAACAAAACAACATTTTCACTTCTGGACTTTCTGGAGAATATTTTTCTTGTGCCTGGAATATTCTCTGTCTTAAGTCTTACCATCCTTCAAGGTACAAGATATATCTAAAAGTCTCTGAGGCCTTTGTGAACCGCCTGGGTATTCACTGAGCAATCCTGTCTTTGAACTGTTGTAGCACATACCTGTTCCTTCACTTAGCATTAACAAATGCCAACTTGTTTATCTTTTTATGCTATTTTCTCCATCTCTTGAGATTTTCTTTTATCCTGTGTCAAGCACACGCTTTTACAACCAGAAACCTCACTATATTTGATTTAACAAAGAGATTTTTTTAAAAAGCCAAATCAAATCCCTGAAGATAATGTTAGCAATTAAATTAATTGAGCGACCACTATGTTTAAGGAAGATTGCTTTCTAGTAGGCTAGGGTGTGGGAGAAAGGAAAGATGTAACTTTATCAAAAAGTTCTCCCTTCACAAGGAACTAGTCACTTCCTTGCCAAAGAAGCAGCTGTTTTTGCGATGACTGTGCTTTTTGGGGTGAGCCAACTGAATTCTCATGTCCTGGCTCATTTTTGAGACTGCCATGCCTATGTGCCAAAAGGGGCAAGTAGGTGAGTCTTTCAGTACTGAATGCCTAATATAGAAACAGATATTTTTAATGGTAATGAATACATTCATCATATAAGCAAAAGAAACCCAAACACTCTAAAAGCATAAAGTTAAGAGTAACCGTTCTTTACCTCACCCATCACTAACGGTAACCACCAGCCTTTTATTCCTCCAACTAGAATACTGTATGCATCCCTGAACAAGCCCATACTGTGCTATTTTTAATCATACTTTAAAAAAAAACAACTCCAGCGGCTGGCGGTGCGGGCTTAATATATCGCACAGCTGTTAATTGTGGTTTCTTTTTTGGTAGCGGCACTTAGATGCGTATTTGCCTGAGTTTCCATTGCGGTAGGGAGGTGCAAACACAGAAATACAAATATAACGCCAAGGGACAAAGAAGTCCCAAGCTTGGCGCACCAAACCAGGCGGCGGCGGGAAAAACCAGGGATCAGCGCCACCCGGGAAAAAGCGCGACCGACTCCGGCGGGTCGCGCGCGCCCGGCGCCCCCTCCCCATCAGCCGAGGACGCTGGCCCAGTTCCGGGCTCAGCCACGCCCCCAATGGGCGGGGGCGGCGGGGCTTGCGCGCGCAAAAGCCCGGATGGGCCGCGGCTTCCGGCGCGCTGCGCTCGGACAGTAGGGGGCGCGCATATGGTGTTCCTCGGCCAGCTCGGCACCTTTGGGGGCTGTGCGGCCCGGTGTGACTAGAAGGAAAGTGGAGCAAGAAGCCTAGCCTGAGGGGTAGCTCTTACCCCTCTGACCGAGGTCCTGCCGCTTTCGCCGCTAAGAGCCTCCTTCTCCTCCGGACCTAGTGAGTCTGAGCGCCCCGGCGGCCTGGGCCCGGCGAGTGGAATGGTTTCCGAGGCCCAAGGCGTCGGGCTTCCGCGCGCCCCGTGACGGGAACTAGGGAGCCTCGAGGGACGGCTCCCTCACCCACCCCGCCGACTCCAGGCGCGGCAAACCCCAGTTAGTGAGCAGCAGGTATCGGCCTGGAAGCGCGTGGGCAGTTCTGGGTTTGCTTTGTGACTTGGGTCTCCCCGGTCGCTCTCACCCCACGCCTGTGCCCCGCGCACAGCCTTTGTGCATTTCGTGGTGGGGGGCGCCGGGCATGTGGAGGTTTTGTTGGAAGGAGGCGAGGTTGTCGCCACTCGGGAGGAGGGCGGGTTTTCGGGGCCGCGCTCCCAGCGGGCGGGGGTTTGGGAGGGGGTTCGCGGGCACGGGGGTAAAGGTCAAGTGCGCGGGGGGCGCTGCCGGGGGCTGGGGGGGGGGGGTCAAAATAATGACAGGTGCCTGTTCGGTAGCTTGTATCTGCCGGGCGCTACGTCTGGGCGAGATTGGGCTGGTTCTGGGGCCAGGTTGACTCAGCTTTTCCTGTGGGGCTGGTCAAGTTCGGACACGTTCTGAGTCGGCAGTACAAGGAGCTAAGTCCTGACTTGTCTCCAGCTGGGGCTATTTAAACCATGCCTTTTCCCAGCTGTATTCACTGGCTGTTTGAGAGAGAGAACCTGTGGTCACCGACCTGTAGCATTTTCTGCTGATCTAGGTAAGGACTCACTTGCTAATAAAAGCATTATTTATCTCATTTCTATATGATTTGTATTTTTTTAACAGGTGTTTCAGTATTTCAAGTTTTTATCGTGTGTTTTCTTTTCGTACTTGTAGGCAAATGTGCAATACCAGCATGTCTGTGTCTACTGATGGTGCTGTAAGCACCTCACAGATTCCAGCTTCGGAACAAGAGACCCTGGTTGGTATTTTTGTCTCCAGTGTAACTTTAACAAAAATTTATTTTATGAGGTGATCTACTAGATTTCACAGAGCCCAATTATAGCATGGCTCTTGAAGTGAAGTTGTAGTACATAGCTTAAATTCCTGCCACTCAGGCATAACTGTGGAGCAAAAGTTACCTGTAAGAATCAATATTTATTTTCTTAGCTTTTTACCACACTGAATTAAATGTCAGTTTCATTATTTTCTTAAGTATGGATGCTGAAGTTATGTTTATTATGTGACTGTTTTTTGTTTTTTTTTTCTGTTTTGACCTGTCAGTATTTAACTTTTGTAGAAGTCAGAAATAATTCATGCTTGTTGTAAAGATGTTAGGCATTACAGAAAAGTATAAAGTAAAAGCTGCAAATTCCAGTCTTCTGTTTTGACCACATCTGTCGTATCTCCTTTTTAGATCTTTATCTATGTGCATACCCATATATATATGCACATGTGAGTTTTAATCTGTCGCAGTTCAGTTTGTTTTACTAAAATAGGATTATACTAGAGATGTTAAGCAAATAGCATCTATGTCAATCAATAAAACCTACAGAATTCTTTTTTAACAGCTTCATGGTAATCCACAGCATTAGTGTGCCATTTAAGAAATTTATGCCTTTACTGATAGGTTTTCTAAAATTGCCTTTAGTTTTTGAGTATTACAGATGGTGCTGCTTTGCATATGTATCCTAACACAAGTGTTATGTATAGTAGTTTTCCTCTCTGTCAAAACTGAATATTATCACTGTTATTTTGCCCTTTTTTGGCAAAAGGTATTATATTATTGTTTAAATGTGTATTTCCCTAATCTTTGGTGAGGTTGGGCATCACATCATTGGTTAAATCATTTGTTTCTTTTGGGGTTTGCTTGGTCTTATCTATACACTTTTAGGCTTATTGTATTTTTCTTAATAATCTGTAATAGTTCTCTGTGTTTCAAGTGTATTTAATTTTTATCATTTACAAATGTTAAAAATTAACTTTGCTTATTTGTTCTTTTTCTCATTGAGAACATTTTTATGAAGTAAAATTTGACTTTTGCTGGCTTTTGAATTTCATATGTTTTGGAAGAGCTCTCCCATCCCAAGATTATACAGATAAACTGCTGTATTTTCTTCTAGCATTTTTTATTTTTACATCTAGATTTTTTCTCATCTAGAATTTATCTTTCTGTTCTTAAATGTAAGATTAATAATGGTATTGTCTTTTATAGTAGTTTTCTTATTAATGCATGTCTTTTAAGTCTTAAAAAAAAGGTGATGGTTTTCCATTGGAGACTTTGACTTTGAGTTGTTTTATGTAGTTTGAAGTTAATATATATAAAATTTTAGAATGAAAAAAAGTAACTTTTTATGTTTTCTGGGATAATTCATTCTTTAAATAGCCTGAAAGTAAAGTGCATATGTAAGCACATAGGAAAAAACATATGATCAGAACCATTAATGATTCAGTACTACATTTATTGTGTATTTTAAAACTTTCAGTTATTAAATAATATTCTGTTGATTAGCTGGAAATAGGCAGTTTTCTTAAATCTAGTTCTGAGGGTTAGATCCCGAACTGGGTTGCTGTCAGATTTCAAAGTTAGACAGGATGGGAGTATATTGAAGGGAGTGCAGAGGCACCAGTCTGTATAGGGGTGGCTGTGTAGCTGTAAAGATACTTGAGTTTTGAAGATTTTGATACAGCAACAGATAGGGAGAAAGAGCATAAACACATTACATCCCTGCCCCCTTGCCAGATATTTTCTCAGTACAACTTGGAAAGCCTCTAGGTCAGAGGCAGGCAAACTACAGCCTATGGGCCAAATTTGGCCTGCTGCCTACTTTTGTGAGTAAAGTTTTACTGAAATGGACCCACATCCATTGGTTTACATATAATTTATGCTTCTGAGTCATACTATCTGGTGAGAAAAGCTGTAAACTGTTTACTGTCTGGCTCTTTAAAGAAAAAAACTGAACCCTGATCTAGTTGGCTGGCTCCTTCAATACAGGTCATATGTCTTATTTGTCATTTGTGTGTGTGTGCAATATCCAGTGCTGTCTGGTGCATGGCAGAAGCTCAATAAATGTTTGTCAAGTAGACCACTAAAAGGCAGCATGATATTATAGTAGGAAGAAAATGCTGGCTTGCAGTTGAGGGATGTGAGTCGCAGTCTCCAGATCTGTTCTTAATTATCCTTGTCAGCTTGGGTTAAAGTTCGCCAGCCTTCAGGAACCTAATCTGTAGAAAGAAAAGATTGGTAAAAGGACCCACCGTAAAGATTTACTCTTTTCTCTCGTATTTTGTAATTTAGCTTATAGTAAGCTCATTGGGGTATTCCATTTACCATTGAGTTTGTAAGGTAATAAGCAGATGATAGAAATAGCTGGAGGAAAAAGAATAATTTTCACTGCCCTGGCATGGGTACTGTTTTTGATGGCAACTGATGATACTTGAGGATTCTGTGATTATTTGCATAATAATTAGATCCCAGCATTTTCTTCCCAACCACAGTCTGTGGTATTCAGTTTACGTAGTTTATTACATTTAGTGAAAACATTATGACTTAGTTTTTGAGGTCTCTAATGTTGTGAGATAACATTGTGTTTGCTACCTTTATTGAAATTCTTTATGGATGAGTTTCCTGCAGGCTTATAGTTCCGGAATAATTTGGAAGTATAATAGCAACTCTTTGTTCTTTATAGGTTAGACCAAAGCCATTGCTTTTGAAGTTGTTGAAGTCTGTTGGTGCACAGAAGGACACCTATACTATGAAAGAGGTAAGCTGAACTAAGTTAAAAAGGTAACATGTCTTACTAGTTACGTATAGCCATGGGGAGAAATTGGCCATATGGAGGGATTTTCAGTAAGCAGGAATGTTAAGTATTGTGGTCATTTGGACTATAATTTGAAGCTGAAAATTCAGTTTATACTCGAATTTCATTTGTCAGCCAGGAACTCAGACAAAGGGAAGCTCTTTAGGGGTTCTTAGCCATTTTGTGCTGTGAACCCACTTGACGCACTGGTAAAGTCTTAAGATTTAGCAGCAGATCTAATAAATGTAATTTGGAAGTAGTGAGGAGCATAACTGATATTTTGAGACGTTTACATCAAGCATAGTATGACTGATATGAAAAATGCTTGTGATTTTATTGGTGACAAAATCACAGTTATTGTTACTACTTCGTGATTTGTTGCCTATGTTCATAATTGAAGGGCAAGCTAAATTTCAGTTAAAAGTTAGTGAAAATACAGACAAACATTTTTTTCCCATCCAAATTAATGGACCCCCTGAATTCTATCCAAGGACTTATTGGGCATTCATGGATCCCAGGTTAAGAACTTCTGCACTAGAGATACATGAGTACAGTATACTGATCTTTCTGGGATAGAGGTGAGCTGATTTGTGAACATATGTTCTGTTTAATGGATACATTTCAATGTACTGTTCTCTAGCTTTAAATTTGTGCACAGAAGCATGTTCTTCATTGAGAGATGGGCCATCTTGGGGAAAATTTCGATGTGAATGAAATGTGCCTCTTCCCCATCTCTCACTCTTAGTTTATGGGGCTCAGGTTACTAAAAACACTGAAGGACCTTACTTACATCAGCATAGTGGGCAGGAAAAGATTCCAGACCCTTTTCCTTTTTAGCCACATTCAGAAGTTTCCTTATGGGATGTTTGGTAGAAAGAGTCTAGGTTCTCCTCCTTCTTCCTTTCCCCTGTCTACCATCTCTTCCATCCATAGTCACATAGGAATATTCCTTTAAGTCTGAAGCCTGCTTAGCCATTTAAGTCTATAGACGGAGCTTGCAGGGAAGTGTCAAGGTAAATGATGTTTTGGGGATGTTAACTTGGGTTTAACCTTATATTATCATTATATAACCAGTTAAGGAAACAAAAAAGTATGACTAGTAGTAGGTAGAAATAAGGAGAAAATTGATCAAGGTCATCATAAAGACTTAGAATGCTAATATTAAACTGTGTAACAGTGATGTATATATTGTCTGACACAGTGTTCAGTTGTAAAATCTTTGTTCTGTGGTATGTGGGAGAGTGATGAAAGTTAGTATGGGGTAGTAGAAAGCACACTGGGCTAGAAGTCAGGAGACCGGGTCAGATTCTTATCTCTCATATGATGATAACAATTCTATGAAATATCAGAAGGAGACAGTACTTGTAAAAGTACATTGTAAACTGTAAAACACCGTATGTGTTTAGGTGGTTGTTAATAGGTTTGTATGTGGATGTCTTAAAAATGTATTGCCCACTTTGTTTTAATGGAGCACACAAAATATAATTTAACTGTATGTGCATGATTCAGGGTCATTATTTTGATTATTTATTGTGTAGATTATAATGATATCTTTAAGGGTTTATTTCATTCACTGAATTCTCCCAAACTGTTGTGTAGATGTAATTGGTCATTGTCTTCTCATCTGTGATGACCTCAGAGGTTGTTGAGGTATATGGTGTGCAGGACTATTTACTAAATGACTCCAGGTCACTGCTATATTTTAGTTGATGTTTTTGATTCTGCAACTTTTCATTGTGATCAGTGGTTTTCCATTTTGCTGTCTTTTCCTTTCTTCCTAATAAGTAGTACTTAGATACTTGGGCAAAGTTAAAGTCTGCCAAAAAAAGAGAGGACACATTTTAAAGTTTAAGTAAATCAGAAGCAGTGTCTCTACTTTAGTCAAATTAAAAGAAAAAGATATAAAATCAGCTTTTTTTGTTTTTTTTTTTTTAGGAGTACAGAATGGTTGTTATTTAGATGGTTATTGATGTGGTTGCTGGTTGTTTAACCCTCTTCAGATAAATGAGATGTTATTAAATGTATTTGAAACAAACATTTAATTTTCTTTAATGCTCAGAAATCATATTTCTATTTCAGGTTATATTTTATCTTGGCCAGTATATTATGACTAAACGATTATATGATGAGAAACAACAGCATATTGTGTATTGTTCAAATGATCTTCTAGGGGATTTGTTTGGAGTGCCAAGCTTCTCTGTGAAAGAGCACAGGTAAGTTCTTTAGTCTACTGTAAAATGCCAGTTGGGCAAACATTTCAGTTCACCTCCATCCTCACTCCCTTTTGTCAGAGAAAATTGTTATAAAATATGTAAAAGATGCTGAAATTTAATTTCTTAGTAAAATAGCATGTTACTTGAGAACGTGAGTTCTGGAATCTTACAAGCCTGGGTTTGAGACCCAGCTTAGTCATTTACTAGCTGTTAGACTAGGTAAATTGACTTACCCTCTTTAAGCCTTAAGTTTCCCCTGAATATGAAGTAGGAACAATGTAAATACCTTATGTGGAGGTTATAAAGAGGCAATGTGTAAGCATTTAAATATTAGCTACAGCATGGAAAGCATTTAAATATTAGCTACAGTAACTGCATATTAAAAAAATATTATTATTGCAGTCACTTCCAAAGACAGTCTTTATAATACCCTGTGGTAATCGCTTAAATTTGAGCCCGAGTTACTTTGGAGATCTTTTTCTTTGTCATATACCATTATGGCACTTAATCAACTGAATTTAACCCAGATAGCATTTCTAGAATTAGTCTACTGGGAACTTTTTTTTTTCAGACTTTTTTTTTCAGTCATTCTTCCTTTACATTTGGAATTCCTTGTTTCATTCATACACTCTTTGCAGTGTATCTTAATGAGAAGAATACTTTTCACCTGAAACATTTACCTAGATTCTACTAGTGTTTAATACTCAATAATATTATAGCTAAAATATAATTAAGTGGGATAGTTATAACTTTAAAATAACTTCATTATAATATATATATATTCATTATTGAATATTAAGAAAAGACAGAAAGCTAATGATAGGGGAAAAAAAGACTGTAATTTGTCATCAAAAGGTATTTTTACTTGGCATTTTTACAACGTATTATGCACAGATATGTTTTAACCCTGTTTTGAACATACTATATTTAATTTCATCCTGCTTTTAAATTAACATACAAGCTTCTTTCCATTGACAGACGATATCTGTTTAGTATTTATGTTATTTTATACTTGGCCTTGGGATATAAGCTCTAATTTTATAAGTTTAAGAAATAACTATATTGATAATTTTGCACCATCTGAGTATTGAATCTTGATAATGTTTGGAGCTGTAATTTCTGATACGGAAAGCACAAATTTAAAATTATCTTTGACTTGAATTCTAATGTGTTGAGAGGTTAAACACTGGGGAAACTACTGACTTGGGGAAAAGATATGAGTAGGAATATTGATTTTTTTGTGAGTTTAAGGAGCTGTATCGTCAGTCCCAAGGATGAAAAAAATTAGTTGGGATTGGCACTTTCCCCTTAACCTTGAAAGTTAGAAATGATATCTTGTGACCAATAAATGTTCTCTAAAGTCATTAGTTGATAAAAAAGAAAAATGTACCATGACTTCATTGAGTATTGGCATAAGTGAATTGTTTCCTTATGCTCCAGGAGGGTAGAGATTTGTTTTTATTTCATTCTTTGTTTTCCCCGCTCTCTAGAACAGTGACTGGTACTCAGGCTGTATTAAATGACTGTATACTGCTCTATCTTTTAATAAATTTTCAGATCAAGAAAGAAAATCCATTAGATGATTGGTCTAAGGTTGATAAAAGTCAAAACTATAATGAGGGCTTCCCTGGTGGCGCAGTGGTTTGGAGTCTGCCTGCCGATGCAGCAGACACGGGTTCGTGGCCCTGGTCTGGGAGGATCCCACATGCCGCGGAGCGGCTGGGCCCGTGAACCATGGCCGCTGAGCCTGCGCGTCCGGTGCTCCGTGGCGGGAGAGGCCACAGCAGTGAGAGGCCCACATACTGCAAAAAAACAAACAAACAAAAAAAAACTATAATGAAGTTCCTATATAATGGGTTTTGCATAACCTGCTACTTTTTTAGGCAGTTTTCATCTATGCCCGGAGCTAGATAAATTCTTTTCTGTTTGAAAATACGTATGTTAATCTGCCTCATGTGTTCACACCAGTTCTCTGGGGACTTTTGCTAAAGTCTCAACAAGGCATGTTTCAGGAAATGGAGATGTGAAATCTTTGCACTAGGGAGACTTTAGTGATTATTAAAAGTGGCTGTGTGTAATCATTGTGCAAATAATTATTATGGTGGTTTTTAGTGTCTAGAAGCTTATCAGTACTTGAATGTAGTAATTTAAACTTTGGGTTGTAGCATGGTAGTTTATACTAATATGCATTTAAAAGTCTTGTTAAGTCTAATTTAATACATTTTTATTTTAAAATGTACATGTTTTTGTTTCTCTCTACAAGGAAAATATATACAATGATTTATAGAAACTTGGTGATAGTCAATCAGCAGGGTAAGTTCATTTTGAATTCCATTAAGCATGTACTGTAAAAATATATTAAAGACATTCTGTGAATGTGCAGACATCTTATAATTGTGATTTTCTTTAAAAGTTGCTCTCATTGTATATTATAGTAAGGGTATGATAAATTTAACAGGAAGAAATACATATGAGCTAAAACAGCATAATACTAAGTTTCTTATGCACATTTATTTGCAGTGGTTATTTAAATATCCTGTTACATGAATTTAAGCCTTGGGATATCAGGTTAGAATTTGTTTTGAAAGGTAGATAATTTCAGAATCTTCTGCATAGTAGTGATAGGAGCAAACCTTGAAATGTATTCAAAGGCTTAGGGAAGTAATACAGATACCTAGGTAGGGCCATTTGAATGGAAGGGTCCTTGTCTTGTGTGTTTTTTATAATAGACAAAACTTTGTTTACCAATTTGTTCAGGTGAGTGCCATTTTACTTCCCTTCCTTTAGACTTGTAGTTCTTAACTGGTTATTTTTGGGTTCCATATCCTGTTGATAATCTGATGAAAGTGCTAGGTTCTTGTTTCATAACGATACACCTAAACATACACAGTGATATGCCGGTAAATGTTTAACAATCCACTCTCCAGGGGAAGAGCCTTGATTTGTGGTTACTGGTTTCCATAATATAAATACTCTCACCATGACCATTTTCAGCCGCAAACATGGAGTTGGGAAGAGATGTACACAGTTTGCTTGGGAGTGCTGGTAGGAGCTGGCTCCAATACACCACAGGCTTTTTTTTTTTAATTTTTTTTTTTTTACTTTATTTATTTATTTTTGGTTGCATTGGGTCTTTGTTGCTGCGCGCGGGCTTCTCATTGCGGTTTCTTTTGTTGCGGAGCATGGGCTCTAGGTGCGCGGGCTTCAGTAGTTGCACCACAGGCTTCTTAAAGTCCGTTCTTTTTTTTTTTTTTTTAAATTTATTATTTATTTTTTGTTGCATTGGGTCTTTCTTGCTGCGTGCGTGCTTTCTCTATTTGCAGCAAGCAGGGGCCACTCTCGTTGTGGTGCATGGCCTTCTCATTGCAGTGGCTTCTCTTGTGGTGGAGCACGGGCTCTAGGTGCGTGGGCTTCGGTAGTTGTGGCTCACGGACTCCAGAGCGCAGGCTCGGCAGTTTTGGCGCACGGGCTCAGTTGCTCTGCAGCATGTGGGATCTTCCCGAACCAGGCCTTGAACCCATGTCCCCTGCATTGGCAGGTGGGTTCTTAACCACTGTGCCACCAGGGAAGCCCAAAGTCTATTTTTGGTCTATAATTAAGAACTGTTCTCAGGGCCGGAGCCTGTGCTCCACAATGGGAGAGGCCACAACAGTGAGAGGCCCGCGTACGGAAAAAAACAAAACAAAACAAAAAAAAGAACTGTTCTCAACTTGTTTACTTTCCAGAACGAACTGACCACTCCTTAGTGCTCCCATTATTTCGTATCTAGATTTTATTGTTATATTACTTTGTTACACTTATTTATACAAGTGTGTCCTTTTCAGGTTTGCAGTCTGCAGTACACTTGTACAGTGTTTATTAATACAATGTTTAGTAAATTTGTTGAATTGAATACTTATTCTTCCAAAGTTAGGATTTAAGACCCAGAAAAGCACATCACCGTCTTATCCCAGAATAGAAGTAATTATTAGGCTGGTGACTTGACATTTTGTTTTACAAAGCCCTTTATGAAGTCAAATGAAGGCAAATAAACAACTGCAGTATCTCTTGTAGTATTTTCAGTTTTCTGAAGTATTATGATCCCTGATGTATTCATTCATTCATTTAAATCTTGGTTGATTGCTAGGAAAATTATATTAATGAGATGGTAACCTGTAGATTACTTATGTTATTTCTATTCTGAGTTTGTTTCAGGTTTTAGTTTAATATAATTAACTTCACAACTCCTGTATCATTGTTCTCAAACTTGTCACACTTAGTGCTTCCTTTTTATTACATCTGTTTTGTAACATCTCTTATACTAAAACAAAATATAACCTATTTATATGGACAACTTAAATCAGTATAATACCTTGCCCATAATATAAAAAATAAATAAACTGTTATGATAATGCATATAATTTCAAAATGTTAATACTCAGACCGGGCTTCAGTGTTAAGACGAAAATGTTTCCAAGGGAGTAGTAAAAGGTATTTGATTATGATCTTAGGTGATGGTATATATCCCACATCTGAAATTTTGACTTGAGCTCCAAGTCTGTACATCTACATACAGACTAAACCTACCTACCTGAAAGTTTTATCCACTTTTCAGTTTATCTTCCCATCCAAATCTGTTCATCATCTGAAGTTTTGAATGATACCACCCATTTATCCACCCAAGGTAGAATCTTGGAATTCTTGACTCCTTTCTCCCTTGCCTTGTATGTCAGACACCAGGTTCTTGTTGGTTTTTACCTTTTTAATTTCTCTGGAATTGATCTTTTTTCCATGTCTTAGTTTAGACTTTAATGCTTTTCATTTGTGTTATTGCAGTTGCTAATACTGGTTTCCCTGCCTCTGTTCTCTTTTTCTTCTATTTTGGCAGAGGGAGTTGTCACTCTTCTGCTTATAGTGACCATTTAAGGGTTCCTTATTGCTCGCTGGGTAAAATACTTGCTGTGAACTAGTAAATCAATTTTATCTCTTAGATTAAACCTCTTTAATGGTGCAGTGGCTGCAGCAGTGCCTTAGGGAGGAATGTGAAGTATTAGCTGGGGAGGATGCAGTGATTTGGGATTGGTGGCATGAGTATTGCTTGTTGATATCTTTGTGCTGTTTAGCAAGACAGGCAGGATCCTTTATGATCCTGCTTACATTCCCATAGTAATGAAGTACCTGTAGTTCCTGCAACAAACACTGGTAGTTCACTTCTGAATGCTTTTTTCACAGTGTTTCCTCAGTCTGGAATAGCCTTTCCCAGTTGTACTTCCACATATTCTACTATGAAACCTCTCCTGATTCCTTGTTACTCAGACCTTGCCACATCTCTACCAAATAACCATTGCTTCGTCTTCTCCATTAATTTATCTTATAATACTTCTTTTAGTGTGCTTATTTTATTGTACTTTATAATTATTCTTATGTATCTTCTATATTAAAATGGAATTATCTATTTACATCTCTAGTATTCAGCACAGGATGGCACTTGGAGACTACACGTTCAGTGTTGGTTAAAAGGTTAAATTGTATGAGGAGTTTGTTCTGGATAACATCTATTGAATAACCCTTGCTTTCCTAGTTTGTGATTCTTTGTTTTTATTTTCTGTCAGAACCATCAGATTCAGGCACATCTGTGAGTGAAAACAGGTGTCACCTTGAAGGTGGGAGTGTTCAAAAGGTAATCTTGAACTCATTCTACTATGATGTTTCTTGAAAATTGGGAGTGTTTAAAACAATGAATTTTTAGCTTCTTGGTGTTATAAGTTTGTGGGTTTTTTTTTTTTGTTTTTTTCTCCCTTGAATGCTTAGGACCTTGTGCAAGAGCTACAGGAAGAGAAACCTTCATCTTCAGATTTGGTTTCTAGACCATCTACCTCATCTAGAAGGAGAGCAGTTAGTGAGACAGGTATATATGAATATTTAATTGGCACTTTCAAACAGCTTTTCAGTGTTCATTCTTTACTGAAATTAGTGCATTTAGGCTTAATGAAATTGTGCTTTTTTGGTTTAGATGAATGAATTTGAGTTTCTTATTTTTATATGATTTCTTTGGTTTACAAATTGCTTTCTTAGCAGCATTTTTCTGGTTGACTACAGCCGGCACAGTTTTACTGTGTCCTGCTGGATTTTATAGTTAGCCAGCTTTTTGCTATGCATGGTAACAGAGGACAAGGATATAAACTCTATTTTAACCATCATTCTTAGTCACCTTAACAGTTAAAGTATTTGTTGTTTCTAATAAATAAAACACACCAGTGAGTTTAAAAACAGAGAAATAGCATCTTAGAAATGAGGACAAGGTAAAGAAAATAGCTGAGAGCATTTTTAACAGAGAAAGCAGGAGGAGGCTGTTGCCTGATGAAAGTCATGATAACTAAAACTGTATGATTCAGGTGAAAGAAAAGAGTTTGGCAAATCATTGAAGTAGAATAGATAAACCCAGAGAAGAGTTTTGTACATGAGGGCAAAGGGCAGCAAGTGCAGAGCAAATACATGGGAGTAGAACAAATGGTTATTTGAGGGGAAAAAATCAAGTTATATCTGTGCCTTATGCCAAAATGAATACTAAATGAGTTGAAAAGATAAATGAAAAAAATTACAACATACTGAAATAGATTCACTTTAAATTTGACAGTGTTAATATCCTTATTATAAGTTTCCAAAAGTCAATAAGAAAAATATTAAAAATCCAACTTGCAAAAAAATTTTTTTTCATAGTAAATAGAAATGACTGATAAATATGAGGAGGAGTGGATTTTAGTAATTTAGCTTTATAGATAAAAAATGCAAAAAAGGTGTCTTTTCTGGTCTTTCAAATTAGGAAAGATGATTTTTTTTTTTAACTTGCTAACTATGTGTTGGCACTGATGCACTGTTGGTGTATCAATTCGTGTAAATTGGTTAACCTTTATGAATTATAAAAAGGCTTGGCTTTCTTACTATTATCACAGTAATCCACTTCTAGGAATCTATCCTAAGGATATAATCAGAAGTGCAAAGATTATATGTAGAGATATTAATTATAGCATTATTCATAGTTGAAAACATATATGATGCTAGAGAATGTCATCACTCTAGTCCAGGCCATTGTCATCTCTTACCGAGACCACTGTAGCAGCTTCTGATTTTCTGTTTCTAGTTACTTGCTCTTTCTGTCCTTCATCACAGTACCAAAAGGGATCATAAAAGGTAAATTGGATTGTGTCACTTCCCCACTTTGTTTATTTACCATTGACCTTCAGATAAAACCCACACTTTAATGTTGGCTTACAAGGCCCTGTTCTACCTTTAATCTGGTTTTTGGCCTTTTTCCCCACCTTCACTGTGTTTTAACTGCACTGATTGGTTCCTCAAACAAGTCAGAATTCTTTCCTGCTTTAAGGCTGTTTGCAGTTTTTTCTGCCAGAAGTTCTTCTACCTCAGTCTTGTAAGACCAGCTCCTCATTTTTCTATTTTTGCTTAATTATTACTTTCTCAGAGAGGCTGTCCCTAACCACCCGGAAAAGTAGATCCCCTCTTGTTATTCTTTCCCTTAGCACCCTGCTTGTTTCCTTCATAGCACTCATTGTAGCTTGTAAATGATCGTATTTTGGTTGCTTTGATGTTTGAACGTAAACTTCCTCTGGTGGTAGGGATGATGGCTGACTTCATTTTTGTATACCCACTGCCTCACACTGTGCCAGACAGAAAGAAGGTGCTCGGATTTGTGGACTGAATGGTTCAATTATGATGAACCTATATTACGGATACCATATTCTGCAGTCATTAAAAGTAATGTAAAAGAATGTTTAAGAGAAAACAACCCCTGGGAAATCCCTGGCAGTCCAGTGGTTAGGACTCAGTGCTTTGACTGCAGGGGCCTGGTTTTGATCCCTGGGTGGGGAACTAAGATCTTGCAAGCCATGTGGTATGGGCAAAAAGAAAAAGAAAAGAAAACAACCCCAAATTGTACATATAGTGTGATATAAATATGTTTTTTAGATGGAAATAAATTTTTTAAATGACAGCTAGAAAATTATTATGCTAAAATGTTATTAGTAGTTATCTCAATGGTAATATTATAGATGATTTACGTTTAAATTTTTTGTCTATTTTTTTAAGATTTCTACTATGAGTAATACAATACTTTAATAATCAGAAAAAAGCCCCAAATGTTATTAATAGAGTTAAAAAATATAGATCAACAGCATGGTTTTGGCCTTCTAGCCCACATCTTTCAACCAAGATCACCTTTTCTTATAGGGAATACAAACATTAAGAACTTATATCAAGAACTTGTGATCTTGTAGAGATAAATACAAAATTAGAGGATATAAGCATGTTTTGGGAATTCAGAGCAAGAAGAGATAACTTCTGACTAGGAAGGTCAAGAGAGGGAAATGGAGTGAGCAAAGGTGTGACTTGTACCTGTTTCAGGCATATGGATTATATTTTATTTAATCTCATAACCCTATTAGATACTTAACATATAAGGCTGCAGTGAGCACCGTTGCTCATAAATCCTTAAATGATTATGTAGGTATTTGTCTAGGATAGAGAAACTGCCCATAAAATGTTACACTGTTTTTCATTTTTACCAGTAGTGTATAAAAAGTCCTTTCTCCCAAATCTCTGAGACTGTCTCTCATTTTAATTTCTGTCATTCTCATGAGTGAAACATGGTATCTCATTTCAATTTACATTTCCTTGATCACTGAGAGCCATTTTTTTCATGTGTTTATTAGTCATTTGTGCTTTATGCATTGCCTTTCATATCTTTGACTTTTTTTAAAATTAAGTTTGTCTTTCACTTGGTTGGTAGAAGGCCTTTATATAAAGTGGGTATTAATCATTTTTTATTATGTGTTGCAGATTTTTTTTCAGTCTGACATTTGCCTTTTAACTTCTTTTTTATAGTATTTTATTTTGCCATGTAAGCCTTAAGTAACTAACTTAATCTTGATAGTCTTTTTCTTGAGGGCTTTGTAGTGTCACATCATACTTTCCCACCCCGGTATATTCTCTTATATAAGTAGTTGGATGGTTTTGTTCCATGTGTTTGGTTTTTTTAATCCACTTGGAATTCATTTTTATGTCTGGTGTAAGGTAGTACTCTTCATTTATGTCCCTGACAGATTTGGTAACATTCTCATTTTAAGTCAGAGATAATTTCTTATTTAAAATAAAATGGACCAGCGACTTCCTGGCCGTCCACTGGTTAAGACTCCGTGCTTCCACTGCCGGGGGTGCAGCTTCGATCCCTGATTGGAGAACTAAGATCCCTCATGCAGCGCAGCCAAAAAATAAATAAATAAAATAAAATGGACCAGTTTTAACTGGTTTTGATTCCTGTTGAAAATACTGGATACTAAGGAAATTGAAACATTAGGAATACCTTCTAAGTAAGTTAAACAGTTTTGGTTCTTTCCAGGAAAAAAAGTGAAATCTTATATCCTAAATTTTTATTTTTTTATTATTTTTTTTGCAGTACGCGGGCCTCTCACTGTTGTGGCCTCTCCCGTTGCGGGGCACAGGCTCCGGACGCGCAGGCTCAGCGGCCATGGCTCACGGGCCCAGCCGCTCCGCGGCATGTGGGATCCTCCCAGACTGGGGCACAAACCCGTGTCCCCTGCATCGGCAGGCGGACTCTCAACCACTGCGCCACTAGGGAAGCCCTAAATTTTGATTTTGACAGAAAAATCGTAGACTGGTTAATAAAAGGTCTAGATGGATTAAATTAATTGTGAGTTGATAAAGTTCTGAAACAAGCTTAAAAAGCTTTTAAAAATGTAGTGTTCTGCTATAACTCTAAGTTGGACAGATCCAATAAGAGTGTTGACTTTTGAAACAGTAGTAATTCACTATTTTTCTCTGTTTAATTTCATTGAAACAGTTTTAGTACAGATAGGTCACTTAAGACAGCTCAATTTCTAAATACATTATAGTATAGCAATTTGATTAACTTGTTTTTCTTTACATATTCAGAAGAAAATTCAGATGAATTACCTGGTGAACGACAAAGAAAGCGCCACAAATCTGATAATATTTCCCTTTCCTTTGATGAAAGCCTTGCTCTGTGTGTAATAAGGGAGATATGTTGTGAAAGAAGCAGTAGCAGTGAATCGACAGGGACTCCATCAAATCCGGTAATCCTCTCATTTTAAATAAAACAGGACTCTCTTATTTTTAAAGTCTAGTTCTGGCAGTCCTAATAAGCATCCAGATAGAATGCACATGTATGATATGTGATTGCTGCTTGATTGCTGCTGTACACTTGGTAAAATTTTCTTTCAAATGAAACTGTATAGATCTTCCCCACTCCCAACCCCGGGTTTGGGGAGAAGGGTGGAAGATAATGGAGTTGCACTGGAGTGTGTTGGTAAAATTAGTACCGATGTTAGTTATTAATGTCACCCTACATATTGGAGAACCTTTGTGGGCCACTGCACCAAAAATATCTTAAGATTCTAAGCAATTTTGTTTTGCATATTTAGAGTAAAAATATCTTATTACAGCTCTCAGCAAATAAGTGAGCATAGCCTGATATCCACATTTGCCCTATGTAGGTCTAGACATCAGGGAAGGTCTTTTTAATAAGGCTGTGAAATATTGGTATATTATTGCATGCATGATGGGAAAGTATCAGTACTTTTTGATCATTGATACAAAATTCCAAAGTATTAGCCAGCATTAACATTCTTAAGAGATATCACTGAAGGAGGTTTTGTAAAGAAGTTTTTGCTAACAAGAATGCTTGACAAATGGAATGTTTTCTTTCTTGTCATTACACATTTGTCTTTAAAATGTTATTAAAATTGGAATCTTTATTTGTGATATGGCAGCATTTCATGGCGATTATTCTGGATATTAGTGATTATTTTATAGTTCTCTAGAAGATGTAAAGGATTGAACCAAATGTGATAGTAACCATATTCTTTTTATGTATTATTCTTTATTATCTTTACATTTTTTTTCTTCCAAAGCAGTGATTTTATGGATGCAGAGGTGCCTTCTGGAGTTAGTATTTAATAGAGTTGTTACTCATATAGGCCACTAGATGGCATGGAGAGCTCCTCCAAGAGCAAGTTCTTCATTCAGTAGATATTTGTGTCTTTTCTATGCCAGGTTCTATTTGGCACTGGAGATACAGTGGTGGTCAAGGTAGTTATGATCCCTGCCCTCATTGGGAGATCAACAATCAAACAAATAATTAAAACACTGAATAAATGCTATGAAAAAACAGGTTCTTGAGAATAAATATGTGTGATCTAAAAATTGAATCCAATTAAATAAAACTTGATGTGTCACCAACTTCATGTTTGGATAATTTTATTCCTTACAAATGGTTTTAATACAACGACTGTGCGCCCTTTAAACTTACAGTCTTTGTTAAAGTTGTTTCAGAATTCTAGCTAAATGGTATTAAAAGTCCTTGTTCTTTCTATTTGGGACACTGCCTTGTTATCAAAGCAGTATAGAGGGTATTTCTTTTTGTTAGTCCTATTCTACGCTCTCTTCTAAAAATCCTCTCTGTTAAAGATCTATTGTTTTTCAGGCAAAGTCCCTAGTTGTGAAAGCTTTTGATGAGGCTAATTTTTTTCCTTCATTTTAGCTTACGTCACATTTGGTCTTGTCATTCACCAATTTGTGAAGGGAGTTAAAGGAAAGTGCGTTTGCCTCCCATCTTTTCTTTTGGGTTTAATACATTGGGGGAACTAAGGCTATATTCTAGGCTCTATACCAGGCAATTAACATATTTTATCACCTCAGCAGCCTCAAACTCCATTTATAGACAGGAAAACTAAGACTTGGGTGTTTCAAATAACTTGTTTCAGATCACGTAACTAATAATTGTCACAATTGGAATTCAGAAAAACAGGGATTTTAAGATCTTTCCAGATCAAGCCTGTCTGATACTTTTTAAATATACAGTATTTAAGAGTTTTTAGGTTTTTCTTTTTTGAACATTAGCTAAACTTTTGAAAACTTTTTAAAAAAAATTTAATTTGTTTATTTTTGGCTGCATTTGGTCTTCACTGCTGTGCGAGGCCTTTCTCTAGTTGCGGCGAGCTGGGGCTATGTGCAGGCTTCTCATTGCCGTGGCTTCTCTTGTTGTGGAGCACAGGCTCTAGGTGCATGGGCTTCAGTAGTTGTGGCTCACGGGCTCTGGAGTGCAGGCTCAGTAGTTGTGGTGCACGGGCATAGTTACTCTGCAGCATGTGGGATCTTCCTGGACCAGGGCTTGAACCCGTGTCCCCTGCACTGGCAGGCGGATTCTTAACCACTGCACCACTAGGGAAGTCCTGAAAACTACTTTGAATTTTGCTTTCTTCATAGAACCCTAGAATAGGAGTGGGCAAACTTTTTCTGTAAGGGGATGGATAGTAACTATTTGGGGCTTTGCAGGCCATATGGTATCTGTTTCAGCTACTCAGCTCTACGACTGTGAGGCAAAAATGGCCATAGACAACAAGTCTAATAGACAACGGGCACGGGTGTGTTCAGTAAAACTTTATTTATAAAAATAGATGGGTGGTGAGGCACAGTTTGCTGACTCTTGCCATAAAAGATGCTTTCTGAAACTTAATGTTTATTGTGATTTTTACCCCCTTATTCTAAACATAGTACACTAAAGCCTAGTTAATTGAAGTGTCCAGTTTCTTAGGTTATTAGAGCTGTTATTGTATTCTAGCTTGACTTGTGATTTTAATGTGATTGTTAATAGAGCCTTTTTTTAGGAATTATAACTGCAGATCAATGAATGTTGCTTTTACTACTACTTTCCTATCATCACGGTTTAAAACAGTCTTTTGACCTCAGTGGTTGTAAAATAAATACCTTATTTTTGTTTTTATAAATGATGGGAATATTAGAGATTATTTAATCCAAATTCATGTGTCATAGATGAAATAGCTGTGGCCTTTACAAGCTAAATATGTCTAGGTTGAAAGTTACTTAGTGGCAAATCTAGAATAAGAATGTATGTATCTTGACTACTAGACCAAAGTACTTTTTCTAGTTCTAGCCTTCTGCTTTGTGTATGTTCCTACCCTTAGCCACGATGGCAAATATTATGGGACTGAAGGTTCTCTTAGGTTCTTATACTATTAATCAGTTTTAAAATAAATCACATGAGCAGATACAGAATTTTAAAAATAGATTTAAAAAATTATATCTGCAAGCTCTTCCAAAGAAATTATTCTCAAAGTTCATTAAACATAAATCATAATTATTGTATGTGTTGTAGCTACTAGCATTCTACCAGTGGGAAGATATAAAGATGATTGAGACATGGTCTTAACTCTTAAAGTATGTATAATTCAGATAAGAAATGTGTACAAAATTATGTTTTGCAAAATTTGTGTGTGCAAATATATAATAATAATATAAGTAGTACAGATAATTAAAGGTGGGGAGTGCTCTTTTAGTTATAGTATTGACAAAGGCTTTGGCAAAAAAGGATGAGCAGAATTTGAAAACTGTCAAGTTAGTCCAGCTAGAGAGGGAAGGTGTGGAAGTTGAAGTTTGGTTTAGGAAACAGTTTAGATCTGGTTAATGTTCTTGTTTAGTGGGGGTAGGGGTGTGTCTAGTTGGAGATAATATGAAAATGTTAATATAGACTTCCTGTACGTACCTTGAATGCCAAGGGAATTTGGTCTTTTCTTTTATATAATGGGGTTTTGAACAGAGAAAATATTTATCTAATCATAACCCAGAAGCTTAACCTAGTGTCAGTGTGCAGGATGGAACTGAGGGGGAATTAGGTGCACAGGGAAGAGTTAAGCTGTTACAGGCCAACAGGTAATGTACATTAAGTCGCTTTTTTTCCCCCCCTCGATTTTAGGATCTTGATGCTGGTGTAAGTGAACATTCAGGTGATTGGTTGGATCAGGATTCAGTTTCAGATCAATTCAGTGTAGAATTTGAAGTTGAGTCTCTTGATTCAGAAGATTATAGCCTTAGTGAAGAAGGACAAGAACTCTCAGATGAAGATGATGAGGTAGTTTTTTTTTTTCTCTGATTATATTCTAAAGTTCTTAAATACTTTCCTTATTCGTTGAGTGATGAGATTGAAATAATAATGTATTCAGATTTCACATCACAATCTTTGACTCTTGATTTATTCAAACTAGAATATTGGTTTGTGGACTTGAGGCTTTGTAATTCCTTGTTGTCTTATTTATATTTTTTAAAATGTAGTGTCAAGAAGTCAGTAGGCCTTAATGAGCATTCTTATAATAGTCTACTCCTTTTTAAAAATATTTAATTCAGTTCTCCGTTTTCATTTTTAATTTATGAAAAAGTAAAGCATGCATGCAGTTAAAAGTCACATACTACCACCAGATCTGTTTCCTGGAAGTGACCAGCTTCAACATTTCTAGTTATTTCACTGTAATTTAATACTTCCATATTTATAAAACAAAAATGCTTGTACTGAATATTTTATTTATTTTAAACATCCGTGTATGTTGACTTTTTACCATAGTGGGTGAGGATTTTACCGTCCTCCATTTCTCCCCCTTTATATTCACTCATTCCATGACACCTTTGTCTCAGATTTCTCATATATAACGTAATTGGACCTCCGTATTTGCGAGTTCCACATTGGCGGATTCAACCAAGTGCAGATTGGAAATATTCGAGTAAAAAAAAATTCCAGAAAGTTCCAAAATGCAAAACTTGAATTTGCTCTGAGCCATCAACTATTTACATAGTATTTATGTTGCATTTACAACTTTTCACATAGCATTTATATTAGGTATTATAAGTAATCTAGAGATGATTTGAATTGTAGGGAAGGATGTGCATAGATTGTATGCAAATACTATGCCATCTTACATAAGGCACTTGGGCATCTGCAGATTTAGGTATCCTTATGGGTCCTGGAACCAGTCTGCCCACAGATATGGAGGGATGACTGAGTACATGTTGTTTGTTTAGGACTTATCACTAAGAAACGTTACTGGTTGAAGAAAAAAGGTGATGAATTGATGCTTATGGTTTTTTTTGTTTTTCTTTTTCTTAGGTATATCGAGTTACTGTGTATCAGGCAGGGGAGAGTGATACAGATTCATTTGAAGAAGATCCTGAAATTTCCTTAGCTGTAAGTATACATTTACTTTTTCAAGGAATCAAAAAATAACATTGAAGTCAAGATTAGAAAAATATGTCTAATCTACTTCTTGACATGAGGTAGTTTTTATAAAGTTAACATTTTTTTTAAGTTTTAATGATTTAAAATATTTTTGTTCTTTTATTGGGTTGGGATCTGTTGCTATACTTTTTAGTTTTTTTGTGTTGGAATTTGAACTTTTGAAGAACTGCATTATGGAAAATGTGGGGTATGTACAGCATAGAGAATAGTATAATGTATCTCCGTTGTACTTATCACTCAGGTCTAATAGTTACCAACATTTTGCCAATCTTATCAAATATGAATATCATATTGATTTGTATTAGAATATGTGGTGGGATTTTCTATTAAAGAAATCTGGACTTAAACATTTACATTTCATGCTTCACAGGGTTCCTCAGGTATTGGATGTGTGTTTTTTTAACTAAATATTATTGCTCTAATTTTTGTTCTTAAAAACTGCCTTTTGTTATATTTGGATAGGAAATCTCATTTTTCTCTTTCTGAGATAGAAACAATTATTAATTATCCAAATACTAAAAAGGAGGAGAAATTGTAAAATCTTAGGAAAATGTTTTGCTATATTAGAAAATAATTGAAGTAACTAGTTGAGTCATTTGATGTCAGGCTGAGTGAAATGTTTTAGACATAGATCTTGTAATTTATCAGACTCTTGAAGCACTTTCTTCCTGTATTACAAGACCTTTGTCTTTGGTTTTATCATTTAGTAGATAACCTGCTTTTACAACTTGAAAGAACCATTGTGGGAGAATGAATAGTTCCCACCCTTATTGCTAATATCTTATGTCATTTGTCAGGCAACTTAAAAATGTTTACATTATTCATGGCAAGATAGGAAGGACCTCTTATGGCAAGTTTTACATGTACAGTGTCCTCAGGCAAGAACCATGCTTCTCGTAAGGCAGGGAGATAAGGGATATGTTCAGTAAAGAGGCTTGGAATGTGGGGAAATTTGTTATCCAGATTGCTTAGTGGGTGGAAAGGTTTGGGAAATAAGTTGGAATAAGGATGAAGCAATGAGCAGTTACAGAGACAAGAACACAGAAAAGGATAGACAAGTAAGGGGCATACATTCTGGATAGTGACAAGGATGGCAGAGTTTATCTGGCTGTGATTGCTGAAAAGAATGTTTTAGCATTTCCTTTGTGGGTGAAGTTAGGGAACACCCAGTTGAGCCCTGGTTTTAGAGCACTTCTAAGAGTCTTAGTCAACCGGCAGACTGGTTGATAGTTTTGTCTAGATTGATTTGGTGGACTGGGCACAGTATCAGGTTTGCGCCTTTAAGGGAGTGGTGTGGGTACAGGCCTCATTACAGAGAAGATCCCATAGCACTTGCTTCAACTAAATGAACCAACTCTGTCCTTGAACAGATAACTTTACAGGTACATGGTTAAGGTCATGGTGAATACGTTTTTCATTTTAGAATTCTTAGCATAGTTTGGCTGGGAAAAAAGTGTATTTACAAGCTCATGCTTGAGGAAAGACTGCTGAGTGCTTTATATAAGACATGAAATGCTGAAAATTGAGCTGTATGATACATTTTACCTTAGACGTATTGAACAAGTTGCTAGCGTTGCTGTGACTGGTTATTGAAGGGTTACGGAAGCTAACTGTCTTGTTTCCTTGAAGGACTATTGGAAGTGTACTTCATGCAGTGAAATGAATCCTCCCCTTCCACCTCATTGCAACAGATGTTGGGCCCTTCGTGAAAATTGGCTTCCTGAAGATAAAGGGAAAGATAAAGGGAAAATGTCTGAGAAAGCCAAACTAGAAAACTCAGCACAAATAGAAGAGGGCTTTGATGTCCCTGACTGTAAGAAATCTACAGTGAATGATTGCAAAGAATCATGTGTTGAGGAAAATGATGATAAGATCACACAAGCCTCCCTATCCCAAGAAAGTGAGGACTATTCTCAGCCATCAACTTCTAATAGTATCATTTATAGTAGCCAAGAAGATGTCAAAGAGTTTGAGAGGGAAGAAACACAAGACAAAGAAGAAAGTGTGGAATCTAGTTTTCCTCTTAATGCCATTGAACCTTGTGTGATTTGCCAAGGTCGACCTAAAAATGGTTGCATCGTCCATGGCAAAACAGGACATCTTATGGCATGCTTTACATGTGCAAAGAAGCTAAAGAAAAGGAATAAGCCCTGCCCCGTATGCAGACAACCAATCCAAATGATTGTGCTAACTTATTTCCCCTAGTTGAACTACCTATAAAAGTAGAATTATATATTTCTAACTATATAAGCCCCAAAATTTAGACATGAAATTTATTTTTATAGCTGTATCAAAGCAAGAAAGTATCTTACTACATGTAGATTTCTCCCAATAGTGAATAGTTACTTCCTTTTAGGAAAATGTCCCTTCTGTTGATATTTTATATTTGGGTTTTAATGTAATTTGGATTGGATATGGAGTTCATCCTTTACCCCTCTACCCCCTTTTTTGGGGGGGGCTGCACTCTTCTGCATGTGGATCTTAGTTCCCCAACCAGGGATCAAACCCGTGCCCCCTGCAGTGGTAGTGCAGAGTCTTAACCACTGTACCATCAGGGAAATTCCTACCGCTCGTTATTTAAAATAATTTCCACTTTCTCTTAAATGAGAAGTATCTGACCTTTTAAAAAATATATAAGTAGGACATTTAAATGTAACTTATTCAGTACCTTTCATGTAAGGAGGAAAAGTTCGTGTGAAAGATTTAATATTTAAATTTTACATACTCTTAAACTTTCCAATCCTTAGTTTCTCTAGTCTTTCAGAGCCTCTTAAAATAAGTCCCCTACATACAAACCTTCAAATTGCCAACTTTCAAAGATGCGAACGTGAGCTGGCATGTCCAGTCACGAAAGTTCACGTGAATGGAGTACATTGTCATGTGCGTGCATCCCCTACAAATGGTTGTGCTTTTGTGTACTTTACTGTGTAGAGTACAGTAGTATAGTATCTTTATTTCCAGCCCAGGATGTCTGGAAGCAAGCATAAAAGCAGCAGTGATGTAGCTGGTACTGCTGATGGAAACAAAGGTGAAAATAATTGAGAGTGGAGTGACAAGAGGAAGAAGTAACAGAAGAACCAAAGAGATTCACGATGCAGAAAATGGCAAGGGTTTTTTCTTTATTTGAGGAGGCACTGTTAGTTTTTGAGGCACGGGACCCTAACGTAGAGTGGTACACGAAGGTTGCAGCAGCCGTTCAGAATGCAGTCTACCATGTTATCTATGAGGAGAAAAAAAGAGCTACTACCCAGACATGGGATCGTTTTTTTCAAGAGGGTAGGTAGAATTGGATCCAGCAAGGAACGAGAACCTGTGCCATCAACGTCAGGTGTGAGTGAAATTGCAGCTTGCCCTCCATCTCCTGTTGCTGACAATCTTTCAGCTCTGTCATCTCCCACCTCCTCTCCCTACTTCCGTCAGTAACTCTTCTTGCCTGTTCACTCAGTGCCAGCCCCTGTATGCCAGCTGTTGTACTGTACTACTGTACTTTTCAAGGTACTGTACTGTAAGATTAAAAATGTTTTCTTTATTTTTTGTGTTTGTTTTTTATGTATTATTTGTGTGAAAATATTATAAACCTATTACAGTACAGTACTATATAGCCGATTTTGTTCGTTGTGTTAGGTACCTAGGCTAATTTTGTTGGACTTATGAACAAATTGGTCTTACGAGTGGGCTCTCGGAACTGAACTCGTTCGTTGCAGGGGACTTACTGTATTCTTTCTAGATAAAAGAAATAGATCGTTTTGGTGCTATGTAAGTAGCACTTATATATTTCTCATTCTCCAGTCTCTTTGATATGGTAAGGGATATAATAAACAGAAGGACTGTTTGTTTTTATACTAGCTGAAATTGTCCTAACTTCTCTAAATTGTCCAAAAATTGTAAGAATGACATCCTATAAGAATGATTGGTTCAGAACATAAAATTCTGAAATAACTCTCAAACTGTATAGATTAACATCTTGATTTATATTAAATCTTCAACAAAATAGTGGAAAATAACAACTTTGACTTAAGGTCCCAGTGTATTTCTCCCATATGTGTCAGTCATACATACTCAGGTGAGGACAATAAAATTAACTGAGCTATGAGTTTAGAACAGAACTGAGGGATAATTTTGCACAGCAAGTTTGTGTGCCAGTTACAGAACATTGTATTAAACTTTAAAAACAAAAACCACACACACATATGACTTACCCATGTATGGATATGTAAGTAATGGCTGAAGGGATCAGCACCTTAGCCAAAGAGTGGTCCTCAAATACAGCAAAGCTTTATTAATTTGGGATTTATAATACTTCAACTAGAACTAAGTAGAATTGATCCTCTCTGAGGACAGAGAAATAAAAATGAGATTATAAACACTGTATAGTCAGCCCTCCATACCTGTGGATTCAGCATCCATGGATTTAACCAACCACTGGTTTGGAAATATTCAGGAGAAAGATTCCAGAAAGTTTCAAAAAGAACACTTGAATTTGCTGTGCACTGGCAACTACATAGCATTTGCATTGTGTCAGGTATTTAAATCTAGAGATTTAAAGTATATGTGAGGATGTGCATAGATTATATGCAAATACCATACCATTTTATATAAGGGACTTGAGCATCGAAGATTTTGGTGTCCCGGGGTTGGGGGGGTGCATCTCAGAACCAATCGCCGTGGATACTGAGGGACAACTGTATATTATTCAATGATTCTGCTGTTTACAAGACATTCAAATCAGTGCAAATAGAGTTTCATTCACCATATATATATGCATTACTAATGCAGCCTTGATTGTCTAAATTTTTAGGTGTAGCATACGTTTTATTGATTTACAAATAAAAGATTAAATGTTTAAGAATTGTTTAAAAAATGTGATTATTGTATCTTATAGGCAATTTTCCCATAATAGTTTTTTCTTCCAGTATTATTGAGGTAATTGACATACAGTACTGTATAAGTTTAAGGTGTACAGCATAATGATTTGACTTGTTTACATTCATGAAATGATTATTACAATTAGTTTAGTGAACATTATCTCATAGGTACTACACTAAAGACAGAAAATTTTTGTTCTTGTGATGACAACTCAGGGTTTATTCTCTTAACTTTCATATATAACATACCACACTGTTAATTATATATATCATGTTGTACATTATATCTTTAGTACTTATAACTGGAAGTTTGTAACGTTTTATTGCCTCTATCCATTTCCCTCTCCCCCCACTCCCCACCTCTGGTAACCAAAAATCTGATCTCTTTTTCTATTTATTTGGTTTTTTTGTAAGTATAAAGACCTACAGTACTATCGATATGTTAGTTCATGTTATACAAGAGTGGTTTGGTATTTCTGTACATTTTCAAATGATTACCACAGTAAGTCTCGTTATGATATGTTGCTATGCAAAGGTATTACATAGTTATTGCCTATAATCCACACAGTGTAAATTTTACACCATGACTCATTTAAATACTTTGCAACTGAAGGTTTGTACCTCTTAATGTCCCTCACATTTCTTTCCTCCTTTCACCTCCCTTCTCTCTGGCAACCACCTGTTTGTTCTCTGTATCTGTAACTCTTTCTGTTGTGTTTGTTTTATAGATTCCACTTATAAGTAAAAGTATTTGTCTTTCTCTGTCTGACTTATCACTTAGCATAATACTCTCTAGGTCCATACATGTTGCAAATGTTAAGATTTTATTCTTTTTTATGGCTAATATTCCGTGTGTGTGTGTGTTTGTGTGTACTACATCTTCTTTACCCATTGTTTGCTAATGGACACTTGGGTTGCTTCCATATATTTGCTGTTGTAAAAAGTGCTGCCGTGAACGTTGGGGTGCATGTACGTTTTTTTTTGGCTGCACCACAAGGCATGTGGGAGTTTAGTTCTCTGACCAGGGATTGAACCTGTGATCCCTGCGTTGGAAGTGCGGAGTCTTAACCACTGGGCCACCAGCGAAGTCCTGCTGCATGTAAATTTTTGAATTAGTGCCTTTGGTTTTTTCTAGATATATGCCCTGGAGTGGGATTGCTGGATCATATGGTAGCTCTGTTTTTGGTTTTTTGAGGGAACTCCATACTGTTTTCTGTAATGGCTGCAGCAATTTACATGCCCACCAACGGTGTACAAGGATTCCTCACCAACACTTATTTGTTTTCTTGATGATAGCTATTCTGACAGGTGTGAGGCATATCTCAATTGTGATTTTGATTTGCATTTCCCTGATGATTAGGGATGTTGAGCGTCTTTTCATGTACCTGTTGGCCATCTGTATGTCTTCTCTGGAGAAATGTCTGTTGAGGTCTTCTGCCCATTTTTTAGTAGGATTGTTTTTTTTGATTCTTAGTTTATGACTTCTTTATATCAGTATATTTTAGGTTTTAACCCCGTGTCAAACATATCATTTGCAAGTATCTTCTCCCATTCAATAGGTTGTCTTTTCCTTTTGTTGATAGTTTCTTTAGCTGTGCAAAAGGTTTTTAGTTTGATGTAGTCCCATTTGTTGATTTTTTGCTTTTTGTTTCCCTTACCTGAGGACACATATCCAAAAAAAAAAAAAAAATCACTAAGACCAATGTCAAACAGCAAACTACCTGTTTCCTTCTAGAAGTTTTATGGTTTCAGGTCTTACATTTAAGTCCTTAATCTATTTTGAATTTATTTTTGTGAATGGTGTGAGAGCCTAGTCCAGTTTCTTTTGCATATAGTTGTCTCAATTTCTCAACACCACTTATCGAAGAGGCTGTCTTTTTCCCATTGTACATTCTTGCCTCCTTTGTCATAGATTAATTGACCATAAGTGTGTCCTAATTTCATTCTTTTACATGTAGCTTTCCAGTTTTCCCAGCACCACTTATTAAAGAGACTGTCTTCTCCATTATATATCCTTTCCTCCTTTGTCATAGATTAGTTGACCATAGGTGCGTGGGTTTATCTCTGGGCTTTCTATCCTGTTCCATTGATCTATATTTCTGACTATGTGTTAGTACCATATTGTCTTGATTACTGTAGCTTTGTAGTATAGTCTGAACTCAAGGAGTCTGATTCCTCCATCTCCCATTTTTTTCCCTCAAGACTGCTTTGGCTATTCAGGATCTTTTGTGTCTCCATACAAATTTTACAATGATTTGTTCTAGTTCTGTAAAAAATGTCATTGGTAATTTGATAGGGATCACATTGAATCTGTAGATTGCTTTGGGTAGTATAGTCATTTTCACAACTGATTCTTCCAATTCAAGAACATGGTATATCTCTCCATCT